AGAAAAAACAAACTCTACAAGAAGACCTAAAAAAAGATGAATTTTTAATAAATAGACAAATGGTGCTTCTAGCTGGGATAGCCCTGTGAAACCCAGTTGATCCCAAATCTCCCAGAGTTAAAGACTCAGTTTTTTTTTGATAACTGAATAAGGTGGATCTATTCCATGTGTTATGGGAAGTCTGTCACTTTTTCAAAAATCTCTAAGAATTTTCAGAGACTATTGAAAGGTGTATGATCCCTTCAATCATTATGTTAAACCACAACGGTTTCTCTGTTCTCTTGTTATTGATCGTTTATTAATGATTATTTATTCATTCATTGTTTATTTACTAATCATTTATTGAATGCTTACCATATTCTAAACACTCCATAGATACCAACTAACCATTGCTGTGGCTGCTAGGGTTTCTGCCTCTGACTGCTCCTGGGTTACCCTTGGCTTGGGACACGATCTCTTTTCTTTCATTAACCCTGTCAAGCATCACTAATACAAGACTGAGTTTTTGAGAGGTTTTGACAATACTAGTGGTGAATGAGCATTTTGGAGAAGGAATACAGATGTAGCATATTAAATTGTAGCTCCCATAATTCCCATTTGTTGCAGAAGGGGACCTGGTGAAAGATAATTGAATCATGGGGGTGGCTTTCCCTATACTGTTCTCATGGTAGTGAATAAGTATCACGAGATCAGATGCTTTGATAAGGAGAAACCCCTTTAGCTTGGCTTTTTTGCTCTCTTGCCTGCTGCCATGTAAGACATACTTTTTGCCTTCCACCATGCTTTGAGTCCTCCCCAGCCATGTGTATAAATTACACAGTCTCAGGTATGTCTTTATCAGCAGCATGAAAAAAGACTAATACACATATAGTACAAACAACATAAAACAATAAGCAATGAAAAATTAAATACTAGACGTTTTAACATTCATGAGACATCTCCTTATGGGGAATTTCTCACTTTATCCATCATCCTTAGGACCCACCCGCTACCATCTTTTGGAGTTGCCTCTTTCTGTCTCTCAGTATCTCTTGTGTATTATTTCCTCAGCTTCTCTAGTTTCTAGACCCTTTAACTCCTGTTTCCTAGCCATAGCCTCTGGAAACTCAAAGGTCATAATTAATTTTTGTATAATGAAAAACACTTTAGCTGTCTCTCTCTTTCTTCCTCATACAAATCACACTGGTGGAGGATGAATTTGTCTAACTAAAGAAGTCATTGAGCTTTTCTACCTGTCTCCCCCAAAAAAGAGCACTTCCCAGCCCCGAAAAGAACTCTTCTGATTTTCAGAGCAGTAAGTTTTGGAATACTTATGTTCTTCCTCACCCCAGATGGGTTTTGATGAGATCAAATCATTCTCTCCCAAATTAATAAAGCAAATAGAAGATAATTCTATAATCACGGGGTTTCACCATGTTGGCCAGGATGGTCTCAGTCTCCTGACCTCATGATCCACCTGCCTCAGCCTCCCAAAGTCTTGAAATTAGAGGCATCAGCCACCATGCCCGGACTCGGCATAATGTTTTTAAGATTCATCAATGCTATATAACATTCCAGGTTTTCAAGTGCTTTTTCAATAAGAATTCTACTTACCCCACAGACACACTTTCATGGTTACAAAGGCCTTCCTCAGTCCAAGATTACATAAATTCTTGCCCATATTTTCTTCCTAATATGGTTTAGCTGTGTCCCTACCCAAATCTCATCTTGAATTCCCATGTGTAATGGGAGGGACCTGGTGGAAGGTAACTGAATCATAGGGGTGGGTCTTTCACATGCTGTTCTCGTAATAGTGAATAAGTCTCACAAGCTCTGATGTTTTAAAAATGGGGCCAGGTGTGGTGGCTCACACCTGTAATCCCAGCACTTTGGGAGGCTGAGGCAGGTGAATCACAAGGTCAGGAGTTCGAGACCAGCCTGACCAACATGGTGAAACCTTGTCTCTTCTAAAAATAAAAAAAATTAGCCAGGTGTAGTGGAGCACACCTGTAATCCCAGCTACTCAGGAGGCTGAAGAAGGAGAATCTCTTGAACCCAGGAGGCGGAGGTAGCAGTGAACCAAAATTGTGCCACTGCCCTCCATCCTTGGTGACAGAGCGAGACTCTACCTCAAAAAAAAAAAAAGGGAATTTCCCTGCACAAGCTCTTTCTCTTTACCTGCTGCCATCCACATACGATGTGACTCTCCTCCTTGTCTTCCACCATGATTATGAGGCCTCCCCAGCCATGTAGAACTGTAAGTTCATTAAACCTCTTTTTTTTGTAAATTGCCTAGTCTTGAATATGTCCTTATTAGTAGTGTGAAAACAAACTAATACACTTCTGGTATTTTTTTATTTCATTTATTACATTCTGAATATTTTTGTATTCTTAGATAATGTAAACCAAAAATAAAATTCTAAGCACCCCAACTGACTGAATGGCTTTCTCCTCTCAGCCAAGGGAATTCCAAGGAAACCTGAAAAATTAGCTGAGGCCATGATGGGAAGTGGAGGTCAGACATGCCTCATTATACTTTCTTCCCTTTGGAATTCAGGAAAAACTGACTGGCATTAACATTAAAACAGTGATCTTAGGACTGACAGAACAGACTGTTTGTAGTAACAAGATACCAAATTCCAACCTGACTCTAGTATAGCGTCACATGACGGATAGCAGGCTCTGAAAAATATCAGAGTATTTCACCCAAAAATATATTTCTTTGATGTATTTTAAATGGTCCTGCAAAGCTATCTCTTGGAGAGGAAATTTACATACTACAGAGAATCCCATTGCGTTTCCAGGACATTCTGATCCTGGAGAGATTAGCTGAGAGTCTGGCACCTTTTAAATGTTTGAATAGGAAACATTTGCCATCTGTTACCTCTAAGGGCAGCCACTTTTCTGTACATAATGAGAACCTTGGTTTCCACAACCCATTATCTTAACCCAGACATTTCTTTCTGTTGATTGTGTGTCTTCAAATAATATTACTAACTCTTTCAATCGACTGCCAACCAGAAAATCTTTGAATCCACCTGTGGCCTGTAAGCGCTTGCTTTGAGTTGTCCCACCTTTCTAAACTGAAACAGTGTATACCTCACGTGTATTGACTGATGTTTTATAAAACTTACAAAACCAGGTTGTAACCCAACCACCTTGGGCACATGTTCTCAGGACCTCCTGAGGCTTTGTTGCCAGTCATGGTCCCCACATTTGGCTCAGAAGAAATCTCTTCAAATATTTTATAAAGTTTAGCTTTTTCATCAACAGTCGTTTCTGAACTTTGTATTATTTCTCCATTTGCTCATTCTTCAAGTAGAACAGTAAGTGTTTAAATTAAACCACTGGTACAGTTAATTCTCTATTATTACTCTTTTTAAAAAGATATGTCTTGTTATTTGAGTTTGTTTCTTTTCCCCCTCTAAAATTAACTTTAAGATCATTTTATTAAAATCCTTAATAAAGGATTTTATATTGTCTATGAAAAAATACAAAAATTAGCTGGGTGTGTTGGCAATTACATGCCTGTAATTGCAGCTACTTGGGAGGCTGAAGCATGAGAATCGCTTGAACTCAGGAGGCAGAGGTTGCAGTGAGCTGAGACTGCACCACTGCACTCCAGCCTGGCAACAGAGTGAGACTCCATCTCAAAAAAAAAAAAAAAAGAAGACATTATGCTGAGTGAACGAGCTAGACACATACTGTATGATTGTATTTATATAAAATGTCCAGAATAGGCAAATCAGTAAAGACAGTAGATTAGTGGTTGCCAAAGGAGGGGAAAATAAGGAGAGACTGATAGTGAAGTGAACATGATGATTTCATTTTTGAGTGATGAAAACATTCTGGAATTAGGTAGTGGTGATGGTTGGGCAACTTTTGAATATATTGCCAATCAGTGAACTGTATACCTTAAAGGCTGAATTTTACATATGGGTTATATCTTAATAAAAAAAATTTAAAGATAGGTAGTTCTACTTGGGGTGTCATGAGGAAAAAAAAACCTTGCATGATAGTAGAGAATGGTTAAGGAATATGAATTTTTTAATTTTTATGTACAAATGACTAATAAACATAAAATGAAAAGTAAAACATTGAGACGGAATATTTGCCTGTTGGCAGAGATGAAATTGTTAATTTCTTCATTGGCTGAAGTGTAGTCTAATGGTTATTCTAACATACTGGAACTGGTGAAGAGCAATTTGGAAATATATTTATTTCAGAAAGCCTTAATTTATGTCCTTCCGTAATGTGTTTCCATTTCTAGGAATTTATCATAAAGACACAGTTTGCCATGTAAAATAAAACTGTAAAGTAATAGTGATAACACAGAAAGATATTTCTGCTGCTAGGGAGAAAAATTAAAATGTATAATATATAAAATGAAACAGACCAATAGAAAGTTCACATTTATAAGGCTGAAGAGATATACTCTAAAATGTGAGCAGTAATCACCTCTTATTTGTGGGATTGTGTATAATATGTATTTTCTTGTTAATTTTTATCTGTGTTTTTTGTTTACTTTTTCTAAATATGCCATGCTAGAATTATTCATGTAATCAGAAAATAATAGAAAAGTTATTTAAAATAATACAGTTTCAAGTGTGGCGAAGCTTTCTGGCTTGTTTTTTGTTTGTTTTATTTGTGTGTTTGCATGTTTTGTGAGTGCCTTAGCAGAAATCAGATTAGAAAAGAAATTTTTTGGTTCTCCTATGACTACAGAGATTCATGAGAGATTCATGAAAAGTCTTCAATTCTGAACCCAGATTTCTCACTAGCTGCCCCTATGAGCTTCCTTCAGTGGGGCGTATAGTTTCAGGGTTTGACCAGTTGATTAGTTGGTAATTTTACAACATACACCATTGTAAATTAAACTGTGGTGTATTTATCCCAAGATTCTTTTCTCTTCAAAATTGTGTATGTTAGGCCTTACAACTAAGATTCTATTGAGTGGAGTCCTTACTGATTTTTCAGTTATGTTCCTCAGATGTAACAATTTTCTTCTCCCAATTTCCTAGACAGAATCATGAATAAACTGGAGGATAAGCAGGACCAGATGATACCATGAAGAGAAGTTTACAGGCCCTCTATTGCCAACTGTTAAGTAAGTTGACACTGCATGTCTTCTTTCCTAAATTATACCAATGTTGTTATTTGCTGAGTACCCAGAATTTACTTTTTGGATGAAGAACAGGGTTAAATCAGTGAAAGAGAACGGTAAAAATTCACTCCGCTTTATCTAGATGAAGTATCAAGCATTAAGTCATGCTAAGATCTCTGTTTTAATGTTAATGCTGGTCAGTTGTTCCTGAATTCCAAAGGGAAGTTTTAACATCAGTTATAGTTATAACTTGGACATCAGTTATAATATAAACTCCATTGTAATAATTCTAAATTGACATGTTAACCATAGTTAATTTGAGAATGAGTGTCCAAAAACATTATTGCCTTTGGTTTGGTGTTCTTCCAGGATGACCTTCTGTAGATTGCTCATGGAGAGGAAATTGCAGCCTGTATTTTCTGTATTTTAACACATAAAACCTGTTACCCTACAGCCTTTGGCTTGAAATGTTATGCATAGTTATAAATGGTTCTCAAATAACAAGTAGTAAAAATGTGACTTCTTGGTTTTGTGGTAGAATAAAGAGTGTTCAATTATGACTTTCTTTCTGCACATCGCTCATGTGTTTTGGGTATAGTGCCACAAAGCACCAATTGCCATGTAGTGATTGTACTTCCTTTGGGATTAGAATTGCTACTGAATGAATGTAAAAACCAACACCAGTTGGTGGGTTTGATGTTCCAGTTAACCCACTTAGGACAATAGGCATTACCCACTCCAGGTCAAACCAAAGCCAGTGAGTTGGAAAATTGTCATTGTTTGTCTCGTTCTTGCTAAGGTAAATGAAGTACCTATCTTTCACAGGCTGAGTGGCTCCTTGTTAACTTTTGTTGAGAGAATAAAATGGAAAGATACTGAGATGCAAATCACCAGTCAGCCAGCCCTTAGAATTTAGTAATTCAGCTTATGTTGTACCCCTAGTGCAAAGCTCTTTATCTAGAGACAGCATTCTGGCCGGGTGTTTTAATTGACTCATTTCTTCTGCTGAATTCTAATCCCTAAAACATATCACGTCAGCCTGTTTCAGCCTGGTGGAAAGTTGCCAAGTATTATAGGGACTCTTGCATGTTCGTTTTCCGTGTGTTCTGTGGGACTATCAGTTTGTTGCTTTTTAAAAAACGATAAGCTCGTTTGTTGCAGAATAGGCTTTAAAGATTGAAGAAGCAGTGTCATCAAGGAATGATTAACTCTGCCTTGATCGGAGACATAAGGAGGATAAATAGGATTTTACATCCACACATGCACACATACCCTTCAGAGAAGGGGAGGAAGGCCTTATCGCCAGAAAAACAAGAAATAAAGAACAACGGAGTAGATTTTGGAACAGCAAAATGTTTGTTGAGTTCACCTATGCTGATTGTATGCCCCAAAGTTTGCATAATATTTTAGGGTCATATGTTATTTGAAAGGCACCAGTAAATTATCCTGCAGTCCTGAGAGACAACTCTTATCCTATGATGAGGTCCATCCTCCTAAATTGAGTTACTATGAATGCTGAAGGGATTTCAAACATTATGTGGCTAGCTACAGAAATCAACTGTGTCTTAACAACTGCTGTTTGCAAAGCTTGCTGGGAAATGCAAATAACCCAGAACAGGTAGTTTCCCTGCTGAGGAGGTAGATAGTGGCCTTCACTAAACCACCCTGATTACTGATAAGAATATACACACGATATCTCCTATATGTCACTGGTCAGCTAGTTACTAAGCTAAGTGTGTATTAACACTGTCCATGAACAAAACGTTTTTAAGACATTTAGTTTATGTCTAAAATAGACTTGAGAAGTAACATCATCACATGCAATATGTTATTTTATATAACTCATATATTTTATATAACTCATAAAAATATATTAAAATATGGTATTTTTAATTGGGATAAAAAAACCATGATTGAGTATTCTGGTTTTTCATTGTTACATAACAAACTAGTCTAAAAGCTTGTGGCTTAAAGCAATAACATTTATTCTGCTCATGAATCTGTAATTTAAGCAGGGCTTAGCAGAGCCTACTGTCTTCACTGCAGAGTGTTTGAGACCAAGGCTGGAATGATTCCAATGGCTGAGGGCTCCCTGAGGCCTTCTTACATGGAAAGTTTCGGTTCCCCCACAACATGGTGGCTTCACAGTGGTCAGAATTCTTATATGGCAGCTACCAGTATGAGGTTTGGTCATACTTAGAAGCTTAGAAGACTTATTATGAATTTGGCTTGGAAATCCCAGAACAATAACTCATGCCACATTGTACTGTCTGAGGAAGTAAGACCAACAGTAATTCAGGCGAAGACGAACTAGGCTTCACCTCTCAAAGAGAAGAGTAGCAGTAGTTTTTAACAGTTATCTTTAGTCTACTACAAAGAATATCTATTTGCTAAAAACAATTACGGGTGGACATTAGCCAGTTCATAAGTCATTAATACAGAAGCTATACCCTCCTTAGTGCTTACTGTGCTCAAAGGATTTGCTGACAATTTACCTAAGTCTCCTCAGTTATTCCAGAGGCAAATGCTTCAAGATGAAGAAGTATTACAGATGGATAAGCAAGGACTGGCCCAGGGGACCCAGTGAGTTCAGGTCACAGCCATGTCTCTCCAACCCCTGCATATATGCCGTTTTCTTCATTCTGCCATGGTGCCCCACCACACAGAGGAAAAATCAGCAGTGTGGTCCCTCTGCTGTCCTTATAGCTAAGATAGGGATAGTTCTAGCCCATAAGCAGTAAATTTGCATCTTGGGAGTGATGTTAGGTGAGCGCTAGGGTTTGAATATTTGATCCTTCCAAGTCTAATGTTGAAATTTTATCCTGTTTTGGTAGTGGGGCTAAATGGAAGGTGTTTGGGTCATGGAGTTGGTTCCCTCTTTAATAGATCAGGGCGCTTTCTGGGAGAGGGGAAGTGAGCAAGTTCTAGCTCTTTTGGTTGCCTTGAGAGATCGTCCAAGAACTTGTTGTTTAAAAGAATCTGGCACCTCCCCCGACCTTGCTTCTAATCTCTCACCATGTGATCTCTGCACATACTGGCTCCCCTTTACCCTCCACCAACAGTGGAAGCACCTGGAGGCCCTCATTAGATGCAGATGCTAGTGCCATGCTTCCTGTTTAGCCTGCAGAACTGTGAGCCTAATAAACCTCTTTTCTTTATGAATTACTCAGCCTCAGATATTTCTTTATAGCATCACTAAACAGACTAAGACAGTAAGACCAAAATAAAAAGATGCTCTTAAGATCACTGAATCATAATCAATGGTCATTGAGGCCTTCATGTGCCCAGCTGGGGCTAAGAGGTGCAGTCTTTGGCAGGCAAAGCTATTGAGGTTTTAATTGTTTACTTTTGTTACAACTGATTATCTTGGCCTTTGTTTTTATTTCCTGAGCTCTACTCCACAATGCATACTGAGTGTTTCATCTCACTGGCTTTAGCCCTTTCAGAAAGTTTAACACATTTTATATGATGTCTTGTAAAGCTGAAAGCTTGAGTATGAGGGTGGTGATGAGAACCTTTATGGTTATATAAAAACCAGGATACTGTCATTCATTTTTCTTTCTGAGACCTAAGTAATCAATTAGGTGTTAGTGCCAAGATACGTGGTTTTTTGAGACAGCAGACAAGTTCAGATCCTAGTTTTACCACCTTCTAGGTGGCTTGCCTTAGGTAAGTTACTTAAACCTCAGTGAGCCCTAGATGTAAAATGGGATGTGATCACTCTCTACCTGAGATGGTACTGAGTGAGATGACATGCCATATAGATGTCCTACATAAATACCAGCTTTCTTACTGGCTTTCCTGCCTGAAAACATGAGTACAGCCTAACCAGAAGCTCTGCTCTAACATTTGTGCGGGACTTTCTGGTTCACAAAGCATTTTCTCATAATTTGGTCCTCACAACGATCTTAAAAGGCAAGTTGGGGCATTATTATTTACCTCATTCTACAGAGAAAGGAGTTGACATCATCAAGACTGCCTTTGCCAAGCCACATCACAGTTTTTTGAAAAATTTTTTAATAATGGAAGGTAAAGAGCATCATCACAACCCCTTCAGAGCATGCCACTGCTCAGAAGGGTCTGAATATGAGTCTTATGTTAGCAGAAGTGGTATTTGCTTGGATACTGTATATTGAAAAATTGTTGTGCTACTTTGTTGTTAAGAATTTTTACATATCAATATTTATTCAAATCAGAGTGGTTTAAATACCTAGAATTAAGCAGTGATTATGCTTTGTAACTTCAGTGTTTGCTATACACCTAGGCATTTGAATTTCTTAAATCATGCACTCTGTTGTTACACTAGTACACCCTGCTTGCTCATTCATGCACGCTTTGCATCTACTGATCTGTGTCAAGTCACACAAAATAATTTTTTTTTCTACCCAGAGAACTGTCGCTATCTTAGGAAAAGGAGGAGAAGAAGGAAAAAAATAAATGCTGGTGTGGACTGGGACCCCTAGACTATAGAATTTAGAAGGAAAATACACCCCTTTTCTGCCATCTTTACTTGGGGCATGGAGATTATATCTCTGTCTCAGATTTGAATTATATGTATGTATACACGCAAACACACAAATCCATGTTACCTGCCTCTCTAGATTTTTCTAGGCATAATGAGAAGCTGCTTGGAAGTTCATTTCCACTTGAAACCTATTTTCTGATGGGGTGGTCTGCTTCCCTTGTGATCTCTGGAGCTGAGCAGAATCCTTGATGACACTTTAAAGTGACAGAACTCTGAGAGAACTCTGTGGTGCCTTTTCAATTCTAACCATTTCTTCTTGCCTACTAGCTGCCCAGTGACTTTATTCTTTCTTCCAGTCACTTCTTAAACTAGAAGTATCCACATAGTTATATCTTCTGCAAGGGATTAACATTTTCCCTCTCATTTCCTTCTTCCATGCTTATCCTTGTCCCATATTAGACCCAAAGCCCCCAACATGCTACTCTCTCATCTCAGATGTCCTCCTGTGGTCTGTGATCTGAAGTTCTCATGTATTCCA